GGATTACGAAAGGTTTGTAGGTTCGATCCCCATCTACCCCGATCACAGCTAACCCGTTTCTGGGGACTTTTTAAGCATTCAAAATTGATCAAAAAGAACCTTACCTTAGTTTACAAAGCAAAATACATCCATTACAAATCAATTCTGTATAAAATTTAATGTTTCTTGAAATTTACATATTAACTGTCAAATGATAGAAGACAATCGAAACAAATTCAATAAACACAACATTGCATCTCAATCTAAAGACAAGAACTATTTTCGGAAAACAATTCAGTCTCTAATATATCGCAACGTCAGTGGCGTTCGATTCCCGTCTCATCAAAAAGGGCATTGAAACGTTCCATCTTCAGATAATCATCGTTTTTCAATTGAAACGCCAAATGGCATTTCCATTGGGCAAATAGGTAGTCGTGTGCCTTTGTCGTGAGCGGGACGCGGGAATGAAAGGCCCGTACCGTACGGCAGCTAACTGGTAGTCAATGCGCCGAGCACAAAGCCTCCGATGTGCCTCCAATACTCTAGCGTTCGTCGGCGCGAGCTTTCATGAATGATAACGCGCGACCAACCGTCTACAGCTAACTCAAAGCCACACTTAAAGCGATAGCTATTTTTTAAGTGTTTTTTCTCAGTAAATATGATCACATAATTTATTATTTTTTATTATGTGTGTAGTTGATGATGAAACGAAGTTGCCAAATGAAGTTCGATCAAAATTATGTGAGCAACTTCATTCGAAAGAATTTAGAAACACTATTCTCAACCATACATATCAAATTAATCATTAATTATGTTTTTTTGAAATCAGTTTCTTACATAAATTAATTTTGACTCAATTATTATATAAAAAAATCGAATTTATATACAAGTTTTTGGAAACTAACCTAAAATCATTGGATTAATACATAATTAAGTAAGTAGAGCCTTAAAATATCATTGGGTTTAAAAGAATTCCTAAAACATACATACATACTCATCGTTTAAAAATATATCTAATAGCTATCGCTTTTGCTATGACTTTCTGATAGGCAGTAGGGCCCATACGTGAAAGCTCACGGACGCGTTCAAATCAAATCGCCTACAAGTTTCCTATCGATGGAAACAGGAAAACCGTTCAACCTTTCGTCGAACAATCAATTTCATCTGATGGAAATCAATACCTATAGTTAGATAGATATTGACAGTGTGATACCTAAGCAAGTTGCTATGAGGAACTTAACGCTATTGAGAACTCATGGTTTTAATAATCTCCGATTGCTACCCAATCAGGCATTTTTCCGTTTAACTGAATAAACTTTTGGATAGATACAATAAAAATGTACATAATTCGTACTTTTTGAAATTTCCCTGGATTTGTAAATTATCCCTACCTAAGCACACATGGTCATGGTCTCGTAGATAGGACAGAAGACACGGTTTTGGCCACTGCCTCTTTTTGGCTATTTGGCACTTCCGCTTGATCCCAAGTTCCATTACAGGACTAGAAACTACGAACGCTGTATCTATAAAGATAATTAAATACTATAAAATAAAAAGCCGTGGGCAAAAGAGTAAAGTAAATATAGGTAGATTCACTATGTACTCTAACAGTGTTGAACAAAATTTCATTGCATAATTGTTAATTGCGAAATAGCAGTTACCAATTGATTAATTGTTAAGTGTTATTTCAATTAACAATTAATTAATTGTTTATTGTTAAATTTCCTATTAACAATTAATCAATTATTATTTGTTCCTGCAATTGCCTTTTAATCAAATCAAAGCATCATAAAAGAACTAATTTAAGTTGGAGGGGTGGCACAGGGCAGGACTTCCATAAGCTCAACTGATGATCTCGCAAAGTTAACAAGAAGCCTTTGGTTCTAGATCGCGCTAAATCAATATTTATCAGTTGGGAAGGCGGTGTGGATTGGTTTCATCTATGAAGAATATCTATTAGCTCCACCAATGTAAACGTGGGCCTATTTGGGAATTATGGGTGGATAGGCTCGATGCTAAAGTAGTTAGCGCATTTGACCTGCGATTGTGGATGTTAAGCAGCGTTGCAAAGACCGGTAATCGGATAAGTGACAAAGTTTTATTTACACGGTACTAAGCAAGTGAAAGAAAGAAAGACAGAAAAAAGTCAGAAAGGAAAATAGAAAGCCAGAAGTAAAGAAATTAAAATTAAAGGAACACAGAAAGCAGAAGGAAAGAAAGAAAAACTGCTAGAAAGAAAAGGAGATAAATACATAGAAAGGAAGCCAGAAAGAAAGAAAAGAAAGGATAGGAAAAACGAAATACAGGAAGAAAGAGAAAAGGAAAAAGGAGGAAATAAAGAAAGAACAAAATAAAGAAAGGCGTCTGTCCAGCACCACCCCGCCCAGCCCAATAAAATATATTGAGCACCCATCCCGTTACTGGCCTTTGTGAACGTTGCTTACCTTATAACTAACAAATCAGGACACGGCACATTATTGAAATCAGGACTGTCCTGGTTGTACCCACACATAGACAATCTTTTGTTTTGATACTTGTTTCTTGTGAAACATGATAATTAATTGTTAGTTTTAATTGTTTCTGACGGAATGCAACAAGACATAGTTGCATTCAGTTGCACTGAATGCAACAAACAAGTTGAAATATTTTAATTGCATCTCGCAATTAATAAGAGTTAATTTAAATGAATTAAGTCTACCTTGCAATTAATATAAGTTTTTACCGATTATTGTATTGGGTCACCAATTTACCGAAATGTTATGTGGTTCATTTATTAGTATATAGGTTGATATTTAACTTATTGATAAGTTTACTATCTGACTCTATTTATACGAAGGATCGGTAAAACAAATAAACGTGTTCACAGTTATGAGTTTACTTCCAGACCATTTGATGTTGAAGTGCCACTTACAAAATACAAAATATCATAGATTACGTTGCCACAGAGTTCTCGACAAAGATTATAAAACAGATGTGCCACAAGTTAATTTAAATAAATTCATTGCAATTTGCAATTTTCAGAATAATTACAATTAAAATAATTATAATTACATTATCTGTCAATAACTATAATTATTAAAATATTAATTGATTAACGTCCAACACTGTTGACGATTCTTGCTCTATGTTGACCATCTGTGATTGACCATATTTACATATAAGGCTAAAACAGCCGTTAAATGGTGTGGTTAGCCACTTATTTGAATGGTGCTATTCAACTGTACGCCTAGTTTTCTAGTTGAATCATTATAACATTTGCACCGTTCAACAAGACGGCTGGTTTAAATGCCGCCAAAAAGTTAATTTGGTTTTGTTATCTATAGAAAAAATAACTTCGGACAGGACCAAAATAACTTCGATGTTTATCATTTATGTTTTTTACTAGCTGTGCCCGCGACTTCGCTCGTGTGGGATAATGACCTTCGGCAGCGTCTTTATTTTTTAGGGTTCCGTACCCAAAGGGTAAAACGTCAGCCCTATTACTAACACTTCGCTATCTGTCGGTCTGTCACCAGGCAGTACCTCATGAACCGAAAATTAGACAATCGAATTGTTCACGGAATATGTATTTCAAATACTAAAAAACAGAAAAAAATGAATATTTAAGGGGGCTCCCATACAACAAACGTGATTTTTTGTTCGTTTTCGGTTCGCAACCTTTCGTACACGAGTTGAATCGCACGTGGCTGATTTTTTTTTTTATTCATAATGTTATTTTGGTTGTCAATTAGCTACGTACTTAAATACCAATTTCAAATAAAAGTTAATCTATAAAAGAATATTAGTTAGATTTATTACAATGACAAATCTAATAGTAAACAATGGTTGCCATGGTAACATATTGATTCCCCATAACTTTCACTCCCATTTTCATCCCTTTAAAGTGCTAGTTTTCAGGATAAAATATATGAAGTAACTGCGCATAAAACATAGCATGTTAATTGTCTTATCTGCCGAGCGACTCCTGATTTTACATGCCAGATAGCCAAACGCTCGTTCTGCTTCCACGCTTGTCGATACAACAGTTAATAAAGCGTTGTAGGTGAATTGAAGATATTAGCCTCTTAATTCACCAGACATTTCTTTTATAATCAAAACTTCGAGAATGTACTCCAGAATGAGTGCGACAAGCAGTTTTAAAACTCAATAGAGTTCGTTCATCTCCAAGAGACATCGGTTCAGGCTCCGTAGGTCCAGCTTGCATCGTTGCGGCCACTGTAGCAAAAGGTAAATCATTATGAATAGGGATGATGACTAATTTTTGTTTGTTTGTCCGTCAGGTAGTGTTAAAAAATATTAAAAATATTTTTTTTTATTTTTTTGGTAATCATAAAATTACAGCGTTACATTGAGTTGAAATTTCGCATGACGTCACATTAGAGTACGTTCTCTACTCAACTGTGACGTAGCGAGCCCCCACTCCTCAACTTTAATGCATGTTATCTAAGCTATTTCTTGTTAAATTGAAGTAAAAAAAATACGTATCTAATATTTTTCTATTATCTGACTGACGGACTAAATAGAATTGCATTTTTTTACCCATTCATCATCCCTATTGCATCATTCACGCCCTTTCGCGCGCCGAAAAAACATATGGCGTTTGCCGTTGCGCAATCCCGCGAATCCCTCTCGATTTATGTGCGAGACTAGTCCCTCAAAAAATAGATCTGGATCGAGATCTTTTCATTACTCCCGGGGGGCTCCCATACAACAATAGTGATTTTTTTTGCGCTATAGATAATTTTAGGGAAATCTTTATGCGCTAATCAGACTTTCACCTTGGCTGATATTTGATAAAATACAGTTTTGACTTGTATTTTTTTGTTCAAAATCAATTGAAAGTAGGCGATTTTTCTTTAGACGCCCTCTTAAATAGTATAGAACATCCTTATTGTAAAAGTTTTAGAGAGAACAATTTAAAAGAAGTTTATGACATTGTAGCGAAAATTTATGACACACTTGTCATATTGTATACATTCGGTCCAAGATAAATTCTAGTAATATTGAATTCATATTTTTAGTTCTAAATTAATAGTAAAATGCACTTAAAAGAGAGAAAGTGTGGCAAGTATTGCTATAAACCTACAAACAGGCGTCTCGCTCTATTCAACAACAAAGATGAATACGAATGCTATGCGGAGGGCTATGTTAAATGTTTCTGGGGAATGTGCGACCAACACAAAAGTATCGAAAGCTTCGCTAATAGCGCTAACCAAAAAGGTAAGCTACGTTCATTAATAATGGTGGCAACCTAAACTTTCGGCAGTTCACTTGTAACCGGAACTCTATACAAAGCGCATGTCCGGTCGTGTATGGAGTACTGTAGATACTTGTGGGATGGATCAGCTAAGTAACAGCTTGCGGTACTGGACTCGGTAGAACGCAGAGCAAAGAAACTCATTAGCGAAAAAAAACTAGTCGAATCCAAACGGCACAGCCTGAGCCATCGCCGTAATGTCGCCTGCCTGTCTGTCTTTTATAGGGTGTACTACGAGGAGTGTGCTCCGGAGCTGTACGAGCTCATTCCTTCACCGTTTGACCATCGGCAATCTAGACGCACGGCGGGATACCATCCTCATTTAGTTGATATCCCAAGATGGACAAAGCGTTTTCTTCATATTTTTTTACTGCGCACTGCCAAGGAGTGAAACTTCCTGCCAGCGTCTATATGCCCGAGTGCATATAACCCAGACCTATTTAAGGCAAGCGATAATAAAAGGTTCCTTCTAGGCAAGCTTGTCCCACCGCAGATCTCATCTATGTCCTTAGGCTAGATTGAGGTCAAGAGTGAGCCCATTGTAAATATAAAAAAAAACAATTCACACCCCAATATGCATACAAACTTTCCAAGCATTTGTATATTATAATGTCCACTAACAACCTTAAAATAATTATGTATTTTACTAATGCATAAAACTCAAGACCTATAAAATATCTAAGTGTAGATAATATAGATTCAGTTCTGAACATATATTACAATAAATCTCAGATTTTCTTTATTACAGTAATCACTCAACAGCCAGTACCTCAAGAGCTTCCATATCGAACTCCTGGTATCATTCAGGGTATTTTAATTACAAATTGATACCACAGCAAAACTTCCCAATACAAACAACTGATAAAATACACTACAATGCAATAAAATAAAGAAGTAATTATAAATATTTTTATATTGTATTTTACATCAACTTAATAAAACATCACATTGTAACCTATTTTGATTTTCCTTTAGAACTTGTCTAACATTTATATTTATTCTAGATTTATCAACATAGTTTCCAAATTTACTCCATTCATTACAATTTATATTCCTATTCATATTTTTATGGAAGTCCACAGATTGACTTATGTATTTATATAATGATATTTTTTCAGTAACTTCATTTAAATTTTCATTCCAAGGTGTTGATGATGCAGGCAGTATCTTGGGTACAGCATGGTAGCAGAGACGGGCTTCTTTTGACATCACTAATATGTCTCCACTTTGGAGCAAAATGGCTGTAGGTGCTACAGATTTATCCAAACCGCCAATAAGGAATATTGCCGACTGTCCGAAGCTGAAAGTGAATGTTACAATTATTTATCAACAGCATAAAAATTTATAATTACAATATTATTTTGTCTAATGCTCTAATATAATGTTTTCACAATTAATAATTAAAAGGAAGATTTAGAAATCTTATTTACTCCTGCCCTTGTCCTTATTATTAACTATAAGGCTGTTCACTGTCTCATAATATTTTTTTAATTAATCAGAATCCTAGTATGTAAACCAAAACAATAAAAAGGATGTTTATAAAAAAATTATTTACAATTAGTTATTCCATTTACCTGAAAGAAAATAATGGTGCCTCTAAATTGATTTCAGAATGATCAGTGTGTGCCGACAATGTGGACTTCATATAGTAATAATTAACAATGGCCGCTTGAGCCTTAAATGTTGTGCATCCCAAATATAGAGCAACTACATCTGCGAGTTCTGCTAATTCAGGTGGAAATGGAGATTGATTCTCATCTGTGTAAACCTAAAGCAAACAAATAATTAATCAAGTGTGTTATTACACAAACTGAATTCATTTTTTAAATTTTACTTTTGTATCCCAGTTATGATGATAACCTAGTGTAGTCCACCTCAGTTTTTGAAGTAATGATTGATCATAGACTTCATTACTGTAACATGTCTCCCACCAATCCTCCAAATATACTTCAAAATCAATATTTGTTTTGTTTGGTTTCCTCGGGTATTCTTCTAAACACTTCCTTATCCAATATCGCTGCCCAAGATTAGTAAACGGGTTTCTAATCAAGTACAATCCAGGATGTGATTTGAAGTAGTACATTTGCCAATTTTCGAATTTGTCGAGGCCCAGTCCTTCTGTCCTGGCATCATTTTCCTGGTTTAAAGTACACCTTATCACCTGAAAAAGTACACTTTTGCTGTTATTACAATGTAAATATTGAATAAAATTAGACAACTCTTTATCTAGATTTGTCTATACGTACTTTATCGTTATGGCGATTATTTTCAACTGATACAACATTTTCTAATGATGGCTTAGGTTTTTTCGATTTAAAATATTTAAATATTCCCATAAAGTTCTCATCTTCCTTCATTCTATAATAACAATTAAAAAAACACTAAGAAAGTAGGTAAAAAAGTAGTAGTCACAGACTTTGGTAGTAGTAGTTAGTAGTATGTTTCGTCCATGGCGAAGAAATTTTGCCATACTGCCTAATTTTGAGTAGGTTATTGTATGAGGCAAAGCCCAATATTTATCTAGTCTCCTTTTTTCCTTAATGTTTTTGAAAGGCTGATTTTATTTACAAGCAGCAAAATTTGATTTAAATTTCTTTGTCCTTTCCAAGGCTATTATATTACCAGGATGGTCAAATCAGATTTCTCCAAAGTTTAGCTGATTTAGTCTTAAATCGGTACAACGTTTTCTCGGCAAGCTAAGATATCCTGAAGGGAAGGTGGGATAGTCTAATGTGTTTTCTGAAGATTATGTGTCAGAACGAGTCGCTGGATATAGTAAGTTGGGCATGAAAAAAGATATAAGTTTAAGTGCAGTAGCGTAGCTACCAAGGGGCTAGGCGGGGCAGTATCATTACGTTTCGCTTTCCTTTTACTTGTAACGTTGTCAGTGAACAGTGAGTACCTACTTGAGTACAATCTTACATAAATATTGCATAAATAAATTAGAAACTAATATTATGGACAAAAAAAAAGAAACCCTGTGGTGCATTTAAAAGCAAACGAAGCCAAGAAAGAGAAGAAAGTAAACAAAAATTGCCCAAAATTGACAAGTTAGTCAGCCTTCTGCGAGAGCTTCTGGACAAAATATTTCTATTGATAATTTTTGTAAATAGTTTGGGAACCGTTAGTAGAAGGTGTGGTTCCTACTGATGATGGTGATGGAGACAACTGGCCAGGGAGAGTAAAGGATAATTGTCTCCCTTCGAGCTAGGTGTAGTTAGCCCGGGCACCGCGGTCCAACCGATGTAGGTTGGACGTTCTGTTTATGTTAACTGGTAATTAAACTTATTCTGGGCGAAGTAGATTTCTTTGTTCTAAGTGCCTTGTAGTTATTAATTTATGGTGTTTGTATTGGTACAGCTCCATCTCGTTACTTGGTGTGAAAACTTCTTGCAGTTTGCCTTGCTATCGCTTGTTGTGACGATATGCCAGTCTTCTCGCTATCGATTGTTGTGGCGATGTAAGTGCGATGAGTTAGATGTCGCTATGTATCAGTCGCCACAATAGCTCGCATGGCAATAGGTTAAATAACGGTAAGCTGGTGCAACGTAGCTATGAATAAATAAATATATAATAAACGCTTGAATCTTTTCTATTTCACCAAGTACTATTATCTAATGATTCTATTTCACCAAGTTCTTATATCTTGTTCCTATGGAAATTTTAAATTTACCATTACCTAAATTTAAAACCAATATTAAGAATTGTCTACTCAATAAAGGATATTATACTGTTGATGAATATTTAAACGACTAAACTGCTTGGTGTTAAATATGGCTCATTATTCATATATAGGTATTAAATTGTTTATCTGTGAGCTTCTTTGGCTACACATGTGATTGGGTTGACGAAAATACTGTGTAATATTGTAATGGAAAGTGATTTCATATTTTAATGAAGTCATTTTTCAATCTTGACGCTCTGTATGAAATAAAACAGGGAGAAAAAAGTAGCACTTGCCGAGTTTCTTGCCGGTTCTTCTCGGTACAAGATCTCCCGCCGTAGATTTACGAATCGATGGCGTAGCTCTCGACTTTCACGAGTGCTTGTAAACGCCTAGACTGAATAAATAATTTTGATTTGATTTGTTGGATGTGCAGAGGTTTGAGACCTCTGCCCATCTTGACTTGTCCCGTATGAAGACGGGAGGTGGGCGTTTGGGTTTGAGTATTGCTTACCGAGGACACCCCGTTTAGCGAGGTGAGGGGTTTGGGAGTGACGTCGTCGAGGAAGCGTCCGCACTTGCACTCAGGGAGCGTGGCTTACGACGCTTCCTGCGGCTTCGTACCGTATGAAAGGAGTTTGTCAACTCATCGGAGTCAGACGTCGGCGATGCCAGGGATTCCGACATCGTCGCGCGGTGGATGATTTGGAAGAGGCTATCAGGCAAAATTTGCTGTAGCTCTTCGAGTGTGTATCGTTGTTTCAACATTTCGGAAATGCAAACCGTTATATGCAAGAGAGAGATAGAGGAGTAGTTTTATTTCGCTCGCACTTCTCTCCGTCACATCTACCTTGGTAGGTTAGAGGGAGATAGGGCGAGTGTGCAAAGAGACCACCGCGCCTGAGCGAGGGGGGAAGGGAGGACGCGGAAAAAATGCGGCTATCCCTAATGGAATTAGTGATGTCGAGTTGTTAGCCGTTATCCCCGGGGTAACAGCTTATCGGATTTTAGTGAACTGAATTTAAGTATTAATTAAATTAATTTTGAATGATGTAAAGTTAATTCCCCGCCGGGGAGTTATTAACTAAAACGGATACGGATTGATGTTGGCCTGAAGGGCCGGAAAGGCTCGGAGCGGAATCTGCCTGTTGGGCCTCCAGGAGGAGGTCCAGGTCAGCGGAGAGCTTGGATGGGAGATCGGTAAGAACCGATTTAGGCCTACGGGCGAGAGGGGAGGTAGAAGGGGGCGGTTCATACTTAGTCCACGGCTGATCGAATGAGGTGGTTGGAGTGTTCCTCTGCTTTAAAGAAGCGTTCAGAGGCTTTTTTACACCACTGTTGAATAGTGGGAAGATCGAGGCCCCTATGTAAATCCGCGTTGCGTACATAATCAGGGGCGTTTGTCGCTCAACGGCAAAAGAGATTTTGTATTATTTGGAGTTTATCTAGTGTTTTAACCCTAAAACAACTTTTGTATTATTTGGAGTTTATCTAGTGTTTTAACCACACCAACCCTGGTGTGGGCGAATACAGTAGAAGCGTACGTCATCACTGGGTGTATACAGACTTTGAAGAGCGTTCGCTTATTGTGTAGGGACATTTTGCTGTGTCGTCCGAGCATTGGGCTGAGTCGGAGTAGGTAGCGTCGTGCGGTTTGAGTGACGCGATTGACGTGCGGGACAAAGGTGAGTCACGCCAAGGTATTTAGTGGTCCTTTTCCATGGAATGCTTTTCCCTAACATTTTAGGGGGGTGATATTTGGGAGGGAGGCGGTGTACTTTAGTATCGAAGTAGACGGCAGAAGATTTCTCTGGGTTTACTTCGATTACCCAGGGCATCAATGGAAGATTGAAGCCTGGGAAGGATTTTGGGTATGCCGCTGCCTCGGTGATACAGAGCCATATCATCCGCGAAGAGAGAGAGTTGTTCTCCGTAAATAGGAACTGGTATATCGTTAGTGTAAACTATGTATAAGGGAGGTGCAAATACTGAACCTTGAGGGACCCCCGCGGTGATGGTACGGAGGGAGGAGAGGGTTCCTTCGTATCTGAAACGGAAGGTGCTGTGTTTGAGAAAGGATGCAATCAAACGTACTAGTCGTAGGGACAGGTGTAGTTGGCAATGAGGCTCGAGTGCCAGATCTTATCGAAAGCTTTGGCAACATCAAAGAAGACTGCTTCTGTTTTTTGTTTACGTGGAGAGAAACCGGTGGAGATGAACTCAACAATACATTGAAGCTGTTGGGGGCAGAAGTGTTTAGATCTGAAGTGGTGGAGTATCATGATATCTAGTTCGGGATCGAATAGGTGGTCCCTCATGCGGGAGAAAATGCTGCACCTTTCTAGTAGTTTCCCTAAGGCCTTAAGAAGGCTGATGGGGTTGGATGGAAGGTTGTGTGGTTAACCTGGTTTTGGATAACCTATTACGATTGCATCTCTTCACGCGGTTAGAAAGTAGCAGAGATTGAAACAGGTATTGAAAATAAGAACGATGAGGGTGATAATCTCTGAAGGAAAGAATTTGAGAGCCATGTTGGATATGCCATCGGAACCCGGGGACTTTTTTCGTTTGAGGTTTTTAATGAGATCTTCGATCTCATCGGAAGAAACTGGTGAGAAGACCTTTTCATTTGGAGGGGCGTCAGGCAGCGGTGGCAGAGGAAGGGACTTCATTGCTGATAGCTCTTCCTCCACCACCCGGATGTGAGCTTGGTCCCACTCCTGGTTGCTAATAGAGCATTTCGTGGCTACGCTTTCTGCGAAGCATTCCGCCTTTTCATCATCCTCGAAGGCTGTGGTGCCGTCGGGGCGAAGAAGAGGGGGGGTGTGAGTGATGACATCTGCACGCAAGGCCCTGACGACCCTGTAGTATGCCAAGTGCGAGGGAGTGATATTTGTCATTAAATCGGTGAAGCTATTGTCTCTGAACTCTTTAAGTTCAGTGGTGTACCTGCGTTGGAGGCGATTTGCTACAGCTCTGTATTCCGGGGTGGGATATTTGGCTGCTCTTCGGAGAGCTGCAGTTTTGGCCCTTCTAAAAGTCCGCAGGTCCGGAGGGATGTCACTGTGATATTTCACAGGAACCTCCCTCGCGTTTTCTGCTAGGGCCTTTTGGATCGTGTGGGTGAGGTTGTCCATCACACTATCTATTTTCACCGTACTATCAAAATAGTCGGGCCGCTGAAAGTCACAATTTATAACCGTTCCAGTTAGTGAGCTTCTTTGTGGAGGGACGGGGGGGGGGGGGGGTGTTTAGGTTTCCTAGGATAAGTGATACCGGTCGGTGGTCGGACCCTAAGTCATCGAACGAGTCGTTAGAATGAAGTCGAAGAGAGACACCTTCATTAGTACATAGTCTAATATGTCGGGGTCGTGATCGACGACATAAGGATCGTGGGTAGGTGAGTACAGAGTTATAATGTCTAATCTAGTTCGAGGGCTTCGAGTAATGTCTTTGTCGTGTGCAAGTTGTCTGAGTTCGGTTATTTTCGTTCGGAGGGAGTTACCATTCCATGAAAGAATCGAGACGACTGCGGGTTTAACACGCCCGGAGGAGGTCGTAACTACCGTTATTTGAGGTACTTATTGTATTGTTCGTACTCATTTAGAGTACGTAGTAAATCCTCGTGCTCGCAAAGCGCTAAGAACGTTTGTGCGCAGACAGGCTCGGCGGATCTTAGCCGCTAGAATGGAGATTTCATCGAGGTTTACTCCACGAATCGTGTAAAACCAGATTATTCGTCGGCCCAACGATGATGGCGTGGAGCTGGGTGCGGGGTGAGGGGCGTGGGCCCTTGGAGGGGGCATTGTTCGCGGGGGTTGCGGAGGGACATGCCGGTCTAGGTACGCGGGTGGGGGGAATTGATTTCGCCCTAGGAAGGGCGGGGAAGTTTTCCGCGGTAAACGGGGGGGGGGGGGGGGGGACAAAGGCGCCTTTTTGGGCTCCGGGCCTTTGCCCTTCTTTTTGGAAGAGGGCTTTGGTTTGGGTGCTCTAGGGCATCCTTTATAATTTGCTGTGTGACCAACTTGGCCGCACAGCACGCAGGCAGTGGGTGTTGGGGTGTCCCGAGTACGGGTGCACTCTTTGGTGGCATGCAACTCGAAGCACTTAACGCACCTCGGAATCGCGGAGCAGTTGGCCGCTGCATGGCCATATAGTTGGCAGCTGCCATATAGTTGGCACTGCCCGGGTGTACCGCGTCTATGCGGTGGTTCGGCTTTAATGCCGGAGAGGCCGCAGACCCTAAGGGTTAGAAGATGTCCCGCGCTGTGGGGACATTTTGGAGGATCACTAGAGCCAGAGGGAAGAGCCCCCCGGCTCTGTTGTGCATTTTAAGCACTGACTCCACTGGGAAGCCTTGGTTAATGAAATCCTTTTGGATCTGTTCGGTTGGGAGTTCGTATGCTACATTACGGCATATTACTTATACAATCTAACAATATAAACTGATACCGCGATGCATTAAATGAACAGCGCCATCTAGTTTGCAGAATTAGAACTATTCGGGCATCTATGAAGATGATGTGTTACAAATAATTCAAATAATTAATAATATTACAAATAATATTCTTTGTCATAAAAATATTCAAATAATATTGTTGCAATCTTGAAACTTCATATTTAACACAACAATATTGCAGCGACATTGTCACAAACTTGTCTCGTATATTTGACACAACAATTTAGAATCAAAGAAAAATTAAACTTGCCCCTTGCTACATGTAGATCAGCATTCACAGAATTCGGCTCAGATTAAAATCTTTTCGGTCGAAGATAGCGTGACATATTTGATATTTGTTTAGATATTTCTTCCGTAGAACTTCCTCTCTTTTAATATTTTTATCAGCTTTCATTTATGTTGACAAATTTCCTCAATCTTAAGGGTATTTCCTACTAAAGTTTTCAATTTTATAAGGCTTATACTTACTGCAATCGTTATCGTATCGGGAGTCTGACTCCTTTGGATCGGATCTCCATTTTATTTGTATATTTTCCTTTTCCCCATAGCTCTTAGCCCACTTGTTGTGTAGGAATACTTTCAATGTATTTAATGATTTATTTGAATGATTTAAACAATAAATACTACAAAACCTGCGATCAAAATTCAAAATTTATTTTTAAAAAACACGCCTTGTTCGTACAAAGATTTTTCCACCTTTTTTCCAAATATAGACTAACTACGTTTGAAATCCGTCACATAATTTCGAAACTGATATTTCTGATTCATCATAATTTACACCTTAAATCTTAATGAATTCTGATAATTTGGTTATCACTAAATTTTCGTTGCAAGATCTCCGTTTCAAAGTGCTTACGACATCTCATAGTTGCCTAAATTAGGCTGAATGAGCTAGGTTCATTTGTGCCTAATGAAAAACAAAGATAAAAGTCAAAAGATTTACCACAAGTATATCAATTTCCAGAGTATGTAATAAATAATCTTTGTTTACAACCAACACGAAAACGTTATCAAGTTTTTTACTTTGATGATTATAGTTCTTAGAAAAAAAACTAGTTAAATTTATAGAAATGAGTACTACGATTGTTGATAAAACGGAGGATCTCATAAAAGTAAGTGATAACAACTGTCAAAATTAAAACCTTGTTGCGGATGTCGTATTATTTATTTTTTTATGTTTTTCATCAAACTCTTATTTATTATTTCTGGATGTCGTCTGAACGTTTCCATACGTTCGTTTTTATTCTGTTAATAACAGAATTATAATAAATCTTTTAAGTCGGGTTGTTACAATCGCTACATGCGTCCAGTGGCGTAGCTACCAAGGGGCTAGGCGGGGCAGTGCCCTGGGGCCCTCAAGCTCAGGGGGCCCACGAATCCTTACCGGAAAAATCTCAATCGAACTCAACTTTTGAAAATTTCTCCAATTTTCAAAATAAATATGACCGGTGGCAACTTGAGTTTAATCATGGCAACTCAGTTGTGAGAAATTCCAAAGTTATAAAAAGGAAATTCCCCTAAATTATTTGTGTGGGTTGACAGTGTTATTAATGTTTTCATCAATTTGTCGGATATCAATATCTGCATATTATTATTTATCGAATAGTTTTATTACCTGCCCATGCACGAAAAAGAGCTGATGATAAAGTTGCTTAGCATTTTTAAAGTATATTTAATGATTTTACTTCAAAAAACCTTACCAGTTTTGATAGCAGTGGGCTCCATTTCTTTATTTGCCCCAGGGCCCTAGGTTACCTAGCTACGCCACTGCATGCGTCATGCTCGTGAACGAGTACTGATTGTGGGGATGAGTACCTATTTAATTTTGCCCCACTTTTTAATTTTATACTAATAATTATTATTTAAAATTATCTGTTTTATTATTTCTGATATTGTAATGTAAAATTAATAATCTGATGAAACTTCATTAGGGTATTAATTTCCAATTGGACTTCTTCATAAAAAAACCAACTGATGGCTGTCAAAAGTGCTTGTAACAGCTTATACTGAATAAATAATATTGAATTTGAATATATGATTAATCTATGGTCATTGCAATTTTTAATATTATATAAATGTATATTTTAGGATGGCGAGCTTCTGGATGGCAAAACAAAACTGAGGAAATGGCTAAACATGAATTTTAGAATAGAAATGACCGATGGCCGGGTACTCATTGGAGTTTTCCTTTGCACTGATCGAGATGCAAATGTAATTTTAGGTAAAAAAATAAGTTGCATTAGAATTATTAATACCTATTTATCATAATTTGTGACTTACAAACTATAACTCAACCATTTAGGGTTCTTCAAATTTTGTTAATTCTACCTTTCAACTATTTTCCAGGTGCTTGCTCAGAATATCTCAAAAGCAGTGAAGGTGAGACAGAAGAGCCCCGAGTGCTTGGGTTAGTAATGGTACCTGGTAGACATATTGTCTCCATACAAATTGATGACACAACTCCTCCACAGAAATACTATTATGATGAATAATATTAGTGCTGTGATAATTTGATTTATATTAAAATGTAAGGTTCCTCTAAAGCAAAATATAGTATTTATTTTTTATAACTACTTTTTAAGTTATTTAAATACAGTCTTACTACTTCTATTTCAAAGTATATATTTTTCGACTCATTGGAAAATGGGTTATAATAATCAACATCTTTTTTAGTGTAGCTACTTAAAGTCCCATCTATTTCATCACAAAGTAGTGGTATTTCTATTTGTGGATTATCCAGGATATCTTGTAGATAATCTTTACTTAATATTTTGTATGTGCAAACATATGGATGTAAATTGGTTTCACTATCACTTGTGTGCTTATAAAAGTCTGCACTTTTAAGTCTTATATCTTCATCTTCATCTTGCAAGAGGATAATTGCTGATTTGATAGTAGTTATTTTAATGCGAGAACTTTTTAAGGATGCAAATTGTTTCCCCATTTCATTATTTCCTAGTGCAGCTATAAATCTAAGGTCTACATCGGTTGTTCCAGGATCACACAATTTAAATATAATTTCAGATAAATTTAAAAGATGTTCATATGATAACTGTCTAGCTAAACTTGCAAGGAATGGAATTATATATCGTATTCTATAACAAATTGTAGATTTTTGTAAATGTATAAAAATACTTCTTGGAAGTTCATTGCAATTTACTTCCACCTTTAATGATATTTCATAAAGGATTTGCCACATCATGGTGCTGTCGGAATGATGTTTAGATTGAAGTATTATTGTAGCAATTTTTGCAAGGATATGTTTCGAAACATTTTCATTGCATCTAATTTTATCTAATATAAATACACAATATTTATTAAAATCTCGCTCCTCTAATAGGATTGGTATGATCGCAGTTAGATCTTCCCATGAGCAAAATTGTATATATATTTTTAGACGAGAATCAACCCAATAAGATACACCAGGACTATGCATATTCTGTTTAGATTCTTGCAATGTTTCTCGAATTCCATAAACCTGGTCTTTTCTTGACAACTCTTCAATTTGCTGTTTGCATATATAAGAATGTTTCCTTTCTTTCAATAGACAATTATATTTATTTACAATTTCTTCACATTGGATTTGATATTTTTGTGATTTATAATGTGTATTGCAAATCTTAATCAAAATTAGGCTGCCATGTATTTCATTCTCAAACTTGATTTCTTTAAGCATAACTGTCTTGTAAATTATTTCAAAATCATAAATATTATAAATGCATTTAGCACTTAATCTTCTAACTGTGTATATGGGACTACCTAAAAGTGCTATGAGATTTTGCAATATTGTTTTGTAACAAGCTTCTCCTGTTGTATCGAAAGAAAAATTGTATCGTCTTGCCAAATTAGCAAGAACATTTAACACAGGCATTATATCGGAATGGCTTTGAATAATGTCTTCATGCATATTGACATTTAGTAGACATTCAGTCATATGTTGCCATAGTTTAGGCGAGTGTGTCCGGAATTCATCGCATGCAACACTGGCCACGGTTTCGTTGTCTGTTCCCATTGCTTTCTTTTGGCCTATTAATTTTGGAATTAAAGCTCCATAAAGTTGTAATGCAGCATTTCTGAAAGAAACAAAGTGTGATAAAAGTTTATAAACTTAATATTTTATAGTTTAGTTTATAGTTAATTTTACTAATACACATTAACTATAAACTAAAGTATATGTATTATATATTATAGTAATATATTTGTATTCGGATATTATTTTATAATTCTTTTGTAAATGTTGGCACACTACCATATCCTTTGGACAGGTGTCGTTTAATAAAAGGGTTATCTGGAAGAGATCGCTTTTAGCGATAAGACCGCCTTTGCCCACTAGAACTAAGAAATTTCCTCTAAACTTTTATTTGTGTGTGAGCAATAAAGAGTTTATCTATCTATTTTTTATTTAAATTTAAACAAGAAATGGCTTAGGTAATAGGCATTAAAGTTGAGGAATGTTGGAGTGTTCAAAAGCGTGACGTCATGAGATAATTCAACACCATGTATTGCCGTAATTTATTGATTGTGCATAAAGTAACAAAAAAAAATGAGTATTTAATATCCTTCATTAATGTACCTGACGGAAAAACAAACAAAAATTAGTCGTCATCCTTATAGCAAGCGGTCAGAAGATCAAAAACTAAAATTTTAAATGAGATTTACTGATCTGGACTGTCACTGGCTGTGATCTGAGAGATCTTTTCAATACATTGGCATAAATTATATTTAATTTGTGTTAATAAATCATTATTACTTAAATAAAAAAACCGCATACCTTATTTGCCAATGTGTACTGCTCAAATTGTCAAAAGCTACTTCAGCTAATTCAACAGAATAGTACATCATGTCCGAAGCGAGGCTGCTATCGATAACTACCCTCGTTAGAAAATGGATGTAAATTGCTTTTGGTAGATCAGTTTTACTTTCGTCCAAACAATTAGGTATTTCCTTGGTATCGCTACAGGTATGCAATATTGTTTCCATAAAGTAATGGAACAGCGGCTATAAAATAACAATTACTTCATTACATAAATAAGGCTGATATTTAATAATATCTACATTCAAAATAAAGTAATGACTACCTTGCCTTTCTTCATATCACTTGATACTATTCTATGGACCATAATGGAAAGACCTGCGCCCCTTCTGGTCACAGATGCCATGGATGCGTAGGATATAAGTTCTTCTAATTTACGTTTCAGCAAAGAAAAAGGAATTTGTGAAAAAGCTGAATCATCTGGCAATGACGTTAAATATTGTATTGCTCTACCTGTAAGATAACTCATTACTTTAATTAGACATTAACTATAAATAACTATCACCCAGTTGCACATACGTCCATTATGGTTTAATGAAGACTTTGAGCTCCAATGAATGTACTAAAATCAAAAATTTGTATTGGAAATTTCGTATCAAACTAATGGGGATTTTAATGGACGTTTGTATTATACAGTATTAAAAATGTATGTACATACATACATACATACATACATATGTACATACATTTTTAATACGAACGTCCATTAAAATCCCCATTAGTTTGATACGACATTTCCAATACAAATTTTTGATTTAAGTACATGCACTGTATGATTGATTAAAAAATATGGATGAGATTACGTCCAATAACACCAACCCGAACGTTGACGCTGAATTTCCTTTGAACAGATGTCTGCTATAACGCAAATCTACGCTGTTGGAGTAAAAGGACCAAAATGTATAATTTTAATGTAATAAAAATATGTGTAAGAAAAGTCCATTTTTAACCCTGGCTCATCCAACTAGTATTTTATCTACTTGAGGAACTGTTTTCCATGGCAATAGGCCCGATCGAAAACTTTTTCCAACCGAGGCAGCAACTTGATATTGCGTTTACACCTCCCTACCCCTCCCCCGCCCGCATACTTTTATAGATCTAACCACCCCCTCCGCCCCGCCCCCCCTTAGTCCGATTTGTATTGTAGCATAACGTAAGAAGGCGTACACACTACACTTTTAGGTTGTGTCTCTTCTCTAAGAAGGAAGAAAGAAGAAGGTTCTCCTAACCTTCTAAGATACAACGAAAGTTAAGAATAGCTTCAATTTTTTTTAATTTACGATTAGTTAATTTTGAATCATTTAATTATTTTTTATGACTATAATATCGTTTTATTGAATAAATAATTTATGAAGATTCAACAGACATTAAAAACACAACAAAATATATATTGTACTATTTTCCTTAAAATATTTATAGTTTTATATGTATAAAAGCGAAAGTTCTCTCACTCACTCATCACAAAATCTCAAAAACTACAAGTGCTAGGAGTTTCAAATTTTGCACGTGGGTTCTTTTTAGAACGTATGTGCTCACTAAGACGGGGTTTTATAAAATTCATCCCTCTAAGGGGGCAAATTAGGGGATGAACGTTTTTATGGAATGTCTCATTTCTGGATTTAAAAATAAATCGCGCGTGTAAGATGCTGGCGGAAGGCTAGTTTTAAATCATTTTATAAAAATAATGAGAAAAACATTTAAACAAGTGTGACACTAGGGACATGACACCGTAACTAATGACTCAAAATTCCTAAAAAAAATGTGTCGGTCCATACACCAACCAATTAAGTCTATAGCATATGTTAACAGAGTGTTACTGTTCTTAAAACAACAGGAAAACTTTATCAAAACATATTTTTATACTAAGTAGTATCATTGAATAGGTACTTGGTGTAATAGGTAGTTGCTAAGTAAGAAAACTATAGTTAATACCTAACGCTGAACCCGCAGCTTCTATCACGCCTTTGTGCCTCGATGTTTCCAAAACATGTGTCAAGATTGAGAGACATTTCTTACATTCTTCTATCTGGCGGTCATCGAGAAATTGTAATACAAATGATATCAAATCACATGAAACCTACAACACCACGACAAATCGGTTATTAATAAATTAATTGATCGCCACATTCGATTTTTATCGTAAATATCGTGTATAACGTACATACCTTTACATTAAACCATAAACAGTTTAAAACAATTTGCTGAAGCCCAGAAATTTTTGTAGAATCCTTTTCATCAAACGGATTGTATCCAGATGCAATAATTATGTTCTGTATCATTTCGTCCATCTTTGAGAAGTCAGAACTGGTTGATGTTTCTTCCTCCCACATAAATTGAGTTGAAATGTCTTCTGACATCTGTATAAGCTGAGGCATTATATTTTTCACACTTTTTAAATTATATGCATTTTGTTTTGTAATTTTCAGTATTTGAAGTAAAACACCTAACAGTGAATGTAATTGTTTTCCAGCCTCAATGGACATTACAATATTTCTTTTTTGCTCATACTCCATGTGCAACTCGTTGAAGACAAAAATAAAAATATCATCAACATTATTAAAAATATATTCATTAAATGATTTCTTCAATAATAAACTGGCAAGCAGTTTAAATGTGCTCTGGCCACAATTTATTTCAAAGAAGAATTTACTTTGAATGGATTTTTGAGCATCTTTTGTCAAGTTATCCATGAATTTTGGTGTTATTATCTTAGAATAATGATCTAGAATTAACTGAATTGTAGTTTCTCTTATATCATCTGCTGGATCCTTTAAATGACTGAACAAATTCAGAACAAATTCCTCTTCCAACAATATCAAGCAGTCATTTTCTCTTTGTTGGTTTATTGCTGGTACATTACATGACTCTTTTCCTTTCCGTTTCTTTCTTGATTTGTTGTTAACAGAACTGAGAAAAATATCACATAGCTTCAGTGTTGTAATTTTTCTTTGGTAGTTGCCATTTAAATTCAAAGACTGAACAATAAATTCTTGAACTTTTCTAAAAAATACTTCAGTTTCGTTTTTTTTGCCTTCACTGTTAATTTGATTAGAATCACTTAGTTTCGTAATAAAATATTTAAAATTATTGAGCATACTCATTCTTAGGACTGTGCAATCAGAGTTGATATTATTTTGTAAATATTTAAGAATAATCTCACATTTACTTTCGGTTGACAGGTCTTTGCCTTGTGTAGTTGAAATTATTTCAAATGCTAACATTCTAATAGAAGAATCCCAATGATTCAAGCCAGTCAGTATAATCATATTGGCTTCTTTGTAAGCCTTCTGTGATATCAATTTCGTGTTTAAAAGTCCTAACTTATTACCTTGTTTCAATATACATAAATTGCTGTAAACAATTAGATCAGATTTCTTGCATATTAATAATTCATTAATTAATGTTTGTAGTAACTGAGGAAATTTTTTAAATGTTGTCAAACACCAATAATTGCAAAAGTTTTCTATTGCTTTGCTGTTTGATCCTTTTAATATGTCAATTAATCCATTAAAAAATAAAGTACACCAATCTTCTTCTGATTTAAGATTTTTTAATATTGCAAAATACATATCAGCGCCAGCAGATACCAAACCTGGTTTTTGTAAACTGCTTATAATACCTTCAGTCCAGTTATTTTCCACAATAAAATTGAGAATGTTGATGAAATGCTTAGGTTGCTCAACAATCTCAGAAAGCATAAGATACTTTGCTTTATTCCACTGAAAACTATTGATGTCTTGCAAAATAGATTCATAAACATCTTTATTTAGTAATCGAACTATTGTTTTAAAAATAATTTTATTCAAGTCCCTTACTCCTGTGATAGGATTTTCCCAGTTATGGTTTATTAAGTTCAATAATCTATTTAAATTTTTTTTACAATACACAATCTCCTGTAACTTAGTTCCTATAACTTTGCTTAATGAACTTATTGTTTTGTAAACGAGAAATGTGTATCTTGAATAATCATAAGCCATAGATATAAGCAAATCTATAGTTTCATTCAATATATCTTTTATGTGAAGCACATCCTCATTGGAATCTTTAACAAGATATGATGATTGAAACATGCCATACATCAAAGATACAGATAGAGATGTTTTTGTAGTTTTCATCAATGCCTTCGGGCTACTTAACCTAGCTGCATTTTCAAATTTGATAAGAGTCTGAACTCTTTCCAAGTAGAATTCTTGGTTATCAGTTAAACTTAGGACAGTATAGAAACAAGTGGTGCATAGCAAGTGATCATCAAATCTAGGTAACCCTACAGATATATGATTCCATAATATATCTAGTATTTTGTTCCATTTTATTGAATCAGATTTGTTCAGAGTTTTATATAGCCTGGCTTTGAGTAGAACTTCCTGAAATGAAAAATATGTTTGATTGAGATTATATCACAATAAGAATAAAGCTGAATGTCTTCTGAGGATTATTAAACTCACCTGTATTAAATCCACTGACAAGTCAATTGATTGAATACTTAACCTGCTTAATAAATCAGTCAACTCCTCCATCTTTTTAGTAGATCTGAAAAGATATTATTACATTTTTATTTTTATACAGCAAAAACTGATAACATAAAATAAAAAAGTTACCTACTGATAATTAAGTATCTAATGTGAAACTTTATGTATACCTTAACCCGTCAGGAGATCCCGAAATAAAAGCAAAAATGTATTCATTGAATAGTTTTACTACATAATCGTTTATTTACAATAAAATAAATTAGCATAAGATTAACTATTTGTGCAATTTTATTGCGATTCTTTTATTGGCTCATAGCCTTCTTTTTGCATTTTCTCTTTGAAAACATTAAAGTCTCGTTTCCTATCGAAGTGCGTCACCCATTGAGTGGGACATGAATTTTCAAATACTCTTCTAAATTCTAAACAGACTTTTGGTTTCAGAGAACTGTCTTTGATATTTTCATTGTCTAGACATTCCCAGTAACGGTCTCTGGCATCCCAGCATAATTTTCGCTGTTCCTTAGTTGGATACGACATTTTTTTATGCCCTCAGTGCCACAAATTACCTAAAATCAACGAAATAAATTAGACTACAAAATTAACCTATCCCCCTAATGCACTCGTCAACGAAACGCGAGAGAAGCTTTTGCAAAACGCTGAATAATTTTTAAATTATACATTTCTACTAATTATAAAAGCTATATCAACTTACTTTAAAATAATTATTTAAATTATTAATCTCACTTCACATGTAAATCTATAAAACTGCGACAAATCGAATCGGAATCGGAGACAGATCACAGACTTGACAATTTGTCGAAAGCACGAGTATTTGACGTTGTTGTTGGTTTTTGTAATAAAAGCATAGGGATGCAGGCCATACAGGGTAGTCTTGGATAGTATTTACTTCGTGTACTTGTTTTCATCAAACCGAAAACATTTTCCTTTTTAAAATCATACATAGTCTTGTTGAATTTCTTCAGATGCTCTTCAGTGGCTTGAAATGAGTAGCAATCCATTATTTTGGATGTATCTAATAGGTGGCGCTGAACGCTTATTTCAAAACAGCAAATCTTCTGTTAAAACAGTAAGGTTGGCAACACTGGCTGTGTGGAATAGATCTCGTTGCTAAAGATAAAACAAAACTATTAACTTTGGTTGACAGAATTTTCAATTTTTTTGTTTCAAAAAGGTTTTTCACGAAATTAGAAATGAAATGTTACGAAAATCAGTCTAACAAAAGAAATAACAATTAATTAATGTATCGTGCAAAGTTAATAAGCTTATTTATTTATTATAATGTTTTAAGTCACTTAATAAAAAGATAAAATATTTGTTTATCATTTAAGTATCGAATTAAACAGAAATATAACTATTGGAAAGATATAATTATTAAAATGGAAAAAGCTATATGCCGAGTATGTTTAAGCAAGACAGCTGTGAAATCATTATTCGATGTAGTAGGTGAAATACAGTACTATGTTAAACTGAAGAAGTGTGTACAAATTGAAATTCATAAAAATGACGGCTTACCAGATTCCATCTGTGAATATTGTGTAAATGAATTAAATTTAGCGTACGACTTCGTACTTAGATGTGAGGTTTCTGATAAAACATTACGATATCATAAATATCAAAATGCCGAGCCTAAAGTAAATGGACATGAAGAAAATCAATTCTTAGCAGAAGGTTCCTGTCATGAAACAGAAATTAATTTTGACTTAGAGATTAAAGAAGAATTAGATCATTGTGATGATGTGCTACAAAACTATGATAATGACATTCTGTGTGAAAATATTCCAAAATTAAGTTATAGCGATGAAGATTTCTCTTTAACCAAAGGTCCCGAAGAAAAGAAATGTGTCAGGAAGCCAAAGATCAATAAAAAAAATGTGAAAAGAATTAAAAGTGGTCCTTTGAGATGTGAACTTTGTGGGCAAATTACAATGAGCCAATCCGCATTAGATACTCACATGAGGACCCACACTGGTGAGAGACCTTTCACTTGCAATACTTGTCAGTCACAATTCCGTACAAAAGGGTCTTTGAAAAGACACTTTGAGGCAAAGCATTCAGAGAAAAGAGAGAGAAAATTCACATGTGAAACATGCGGTAGCAGTTTTTACAGGAAGAATGATATAATTATACACATACGATTACATACAAATGAAAGACCATATGTCTGTCCATACTGCTCCAAATGTTTCAGTCAAATTGCATCATTAATACGTCACAAACGTGTTCACACTGGGGAGAAACCTTTTAGTTGTCCGATTTGTGGGAAGAAATTTAACGACAAAAACTTAGTTAAGAAACACCAATCTGTACATAGTGATGAGAGGAAATTCACCTGCCACCTGTGTAATAAATCTGTGAAGAGTCGCACTACACTCAATACGCACATGAGTTTACATTCAAATGAAAAGTGTAATGTTTGTAGCTTTTGTGGAATGGCGTTTTCAATGAAAGGAAACTTGACAAGTCACATACGCAGAGCCCATTCTGAGAAGTCGGGACATTGTTCTATATGCTTCAAGTCATTTTCAGATATACTGGCACACATGCGTAAGCACAATGGAGAAAGACCTTTTACCTGCAAATTGTGTGATAAAAGTTTTGCTTCTCAGAGAAGTTTATCACACCATATGGTATTTAAACATAAGAATGCTACAAAATTTAAATGTGCCGTAGCTGAATGTAGTAAAGGTTTCCCAACAGCAAAAATGTTGGAATATCATTTATTCAAACATCATAATAAAAATGAATCACCATATATATGCCAGCACTGCTCGCGTGGTTTCTTCCGGCCTAGTGATCTGACACGGCATCTTAAAATGAGTCATCTGGAACCATTACCTAAGATATGTCTGTAGTCCCTAAATCAATTGTTAGTTGATAGAACATTACGATATTAGTGCGTTATGATGGTTATAACATGCGAGGCGGAATTTCAGCCCGAGCCGAAGGCGAGGGCGTAATTGAGCCGAGCATGTTATAACCAATACGCACGTATATAGTACGACGTTTTTTAACACATTTGCGAGGAAACAGAAAAAAAAAAAACATTAAATAAACTCAATCTGTAAATGTACACTGTTGCTTTCCCGCCATTTTAACAGCGCGCTAGCGCTGCCTACTGACTGGCGCCGCGCGGCGATTAGTTCGAAATTTGAATAGCAACAGCGCGCGAAATGGCAAATAATACTGTTATGGAATTTGTATGGACTATAACTTAACTATTTGCTTTGGTAACACACGCATTTTTTATGACCCGCTTTACATATTTGAAACCGGTGGAATTACATCAGCTTTACGAGCAAAGGTGTTAAAAATATTTTTTTCTATTTTCATAAGTTCTATGTTTAAACTTATAATGAAAACATGTATATAGTATTTATGCAGCAACCAAGTGGTATAATCGGCTAACCAATTGGGCGGCTAGCCCTTTAATTGAATGGTGCCAGTCAATTAACAGGCTGACTTTCAATGAGCCGATTAACTGTACTTAATGTTCTACAATACAGCTTAACAAAGGTCAGCCAACTAATTAACTGTCAACTTTTAACTAATTAACTGTCCCATATACAAAAAAATATTTATTTTACCATAGGATATTTTAGGATCATTGAACTCTATAAACTGTATTGTAATAGAATCTTTTTATGGAAACAATTTTCCAAATTGTGGGGTCTAATTATAATTCTGTCCAAACTCATTTCTGTAACGTTAAACGAGGTAGATAGCAAGCTTCAACGTACTGTACTACTTGGATATCAGACAAATCATGGGTACACATTTTTTAGTTTTAATTAGATCGATTTGCATTGCAGGAAAAATCACGTAAAAATATAATTAATTCTTTGGTTGTTTAATAATTCTGTTACCATCGTCGCCTTCTCGTCTCCAATTAGATATTAATTGTTTGATCTTCTTCATGATTTATCATTCAGATAGTTATTATCACGCCCTTAAGCCATGCAATGTTATTACAAGTAGTCACTACTTCGTATTTCTCTGATTTCATCAAGTATCATATTTTAGTTGAGCTCAATGGCAAAGTGGTTGGAACGCTAGGTCTCCTATACGGATGTTAAACAACTTTCGCAATGGTTGGGCATAGGACGGGTGACCGAAAATCTATTCTCTCGAGTTTCTCCGTGCTTTGGAAAGGCACATCAAGCCGTTCGTCTGAACTGGGATGACAACTTAATTTTGTTTGTCTGTCTACTTGACAGTAGATTATTTCGTAATCGTAAATTGAGTTAAAATGTCACATGATATCACGTTATGGTACATTTTCTACAAAACTGACGTAGCGAGTCCTCAAATTTAATACCTGGTTTCTAAGCTATATTTCGTGTTAAATTGAAGTAAAAAAAATACGTATCTAATATTTTTCTATTATTTGATTAACAGACTAAATACAATTTCTTTTTTTTACCCAGTCGTCATCCCTACTGCATCTGCAGCCGTTAATAGCCACCAACCCGCACTGGACCCGCGTGGGGGACTATCATAACTACATAAGTACTTGCCTACCTATTTCTAGGATAACATACATTTGATATAATTTAATTGTTTAGAGTAAGTATAATTGTGATTTGTAACTTTGGATAACTATTTAATACATTGCTAGTCATTATGATAATAAATTAATTGGTTTCATCGTGTAATTGTCCTTTATTTATTTCTTAAACATTATTGCACAATTAAAACGTCCAGTGTCGGACTTAATGCCATAAAAGGCAATATCTACCAGTTAACCAGATAGTTATCTTTAACCCTAAGATAATAAATTTGAAGTTTATCGACTGTCGATATGTTTAAGTTTAGTAGAAGTTAATTTAACTATTACAGCCAGTTGCTCAAATGTTCATTAAAATTTCCATTAGTTTAAAGCGACATTAGCCATTTAAATTTGACATTCGTTAGAACTTAAAAGCGTTATTAAACCTTAATGGACGTTTGTGCAACTGACCGTTAGGGTCTTGCTTTTCTATGAATTAGCGACTTAACGATACACAAATACATCGACGTTTATTGCAGCACTTAAGTACCTACCAACTAAGATAATTTACTGAAATCAATAAACACAATTGTTCATTGTAGTCTATGAACAAATAATTTCTTTTGATATAATTATCTTAGGGATTGTTTTTTAAATCAGATCGCCATTATGGTTGTGTAGAATAACTTCACTTTTCGTATATATTCTATTAGACTTTCATTTGATATGATTGAAAATGATACGTCATATTGAATTTTGGCGTTTAGTAATTATGAATTATCGTAAAAGCTTTCAATTCATCGGTAAGAGATGATTATGAGGATATTTCCAGTTTATTTAAATAGGGCCTTAGTAAATAAAAATAATTAACATTTTCAAAATTATATCATGACAACAGTCAACAAGAGTGAAGATTAGATTAAGAGTGAGAATTAGTAAGATCAAGAGTGACCTCAGGATTACGACCGCCTAGCTCTCTAACCTCAATTCTAGCTATAAGATGCGACATCTTTACGATGTATATGATGACATTTCTTTTTTTTGTGGATAAATTTTTGATAAATAACTGAGTTGGTAATACTGCTATCGAATCCATGATCATCATTCTTTAACGTTCGTTCATCATTGCTAAAGTACATGTTAAAGTAGTAAAATGATACGATATATCGTCATAACATCGTTAAGATATCCTATGGCAGACATCTCTGAAATATAGATACATCATGAATAATAAAGTTGTTTAGGTAGTCAGTTTACGTTTTCGTATTATCATCTAAATATCTATTATTATCTTAAAACAATAAAAATAATGTTTATGTTAGGTAAGTACTTGTTGTTATAGCTAAAACACTTACATATTTTATCCGTTCTTTAGAAAGGGGGACCCAAGGGAAAATGTAGACCCTCTGAAACCTAATAGCGCGGAAATCCTCCCAAACTTGAGATTGTATCCGGCAAGTTTCGAACGCGCGCCATGTTGCCTCTTCTAGATAAAGCAGAGCGTTGTCGGTAAAACAGTGCCAGGTGTTGAGGTGTTTATGCCCCTTTCTCTTTTCAATATGTAACGTTATCAGGCTCTCTCACTCTCGCGCCAATTAAGCGAGCGAGGTGAGCGATACGCGCCGGCTCGTAGAGGACGTTAGCCCGCGACCGACCGCCGCAGCGCACGCATACCTCGCCGCCGCTCCGCAATAGTTCCATACCCGCAGCAGGTGTCGGTGCCGTGATGTGCAAACCGTGAAACAGTTCTCATATGTGCTCGACTTTTTAACTTCCTTCCTGTTCGGATACTTGGATTACTTTGAGTTTCGCCATGGGTGAAGTGAGTACCGTTTTTATTGTCCACGGTTATTATTTATACGGAATGCGAACGTGCTCCAGTTATGGGACGCTTGCGCCTAGTCCTATGATTGTGATCGCTAGGTTCGTAGGTCGACGGCATGAACTGCAGTTGCGGCTGCGGCGTCTCGCACGTTGCGGGTCAATTAGCGCTTTCTTGTGCAGAGAGTAAATGCAGTTTGGGAATGTATGCCGATATCGAAATCCGTAGAAAGCTCGCAGACGTGGACCACAATCGGCCACATCGCTAAAAACGAGATCGTCGTTGTACTGTTATATACCTGAGTACATACGATAACGCGATTCGACGATACTTGTTATCTTTGATATTGTGTTAATTTATTGCCATCGAATATTTCTTTTAATAAATAACAAGCAGATATTGTCTTATCTTTAGGCATAAAGAATTAACATTGACGTCGTTTAGCGATTTGATTACCTACATGGTGAAAAAAGTACCGACATGAATTGCGATAGCTACATTCTTACAAGCTTCAGAAGCCCGAAATTATTAGATATATACTTAAAAGCGGTGTTTCATAGATACACCCATTTTTGGTCGACATGAATTTAAATAATTTTGGCGTTAATTACGTGCGTCAACTAAACCCGTTAATAATGAGATTTCGAAACAGCTGATTAATATCACCCATGTTTGGATGGCAAGGCCCGTGGAATGGGAGCAGCGCGGGGGCCGCGGCCGGCGCGGTGCGTAGGTCAACGTGGATTTTGCACAAACGGCTATCTTTTTAAATCATGAACTCCCATATGAATTTTTACATTTTTTAACAAAAATATGTGTCTTCCACTTTTGACGTGAATACATAATAAAAAGTTTAATTTTACGAAAAGAAAGGTGAATTTGATATGGAGAATTGCTTTATAATATAAGGGACTTGAGTTCTTAACAGTCATTATTTTTAAATAGATAGGTAAAAAGATATTTATAACATGGTGTTTTTACCTTAATTTTAATTTCTGTTTATCCATCACAAAAGGTACCTTATATTTTATCATCATAGTGAGCAAACAATATCTATTGATATATAGAAGTAATACTCGTGTTAATTATTCTGTTAATTATTACCAATATGAAATTAACTATGTTAATCAAGATACGATATTAAGATACTTTACTTTCAAATTTAAAAATAAAAGTAAAAATATTACCTACCAACAAACTTGTCATTAAACTAACAGACTCCCTATTTACCTATTTGAATTTAAATAAATGACTCGAGATATAGGTATATCACTGTATTTTTAGTAAATATCTATGACCTAGATTAGATTTCATACCGTATCATAAATTTGATAATGAAAGATTGCACTTAGTATTATTATTCATACTGATTTTACAATATAATTACATTTGCGATCTGCCTTATTTATTTCTAACTTGAAGCAAAAAAGTCGATTGGATTTCGTTTAAGAGCTATTCCTGCTCAGCTCATGCTATCGAGCCCCTCGACCACAGAAGCCACGGTTATTCTGAACTTTGTTATGATATTGTGATACATTGACCTTTATCCAATCTTATGGACTTTGATGGGTCCATAATTAACCTATACGCAATTTTTTCGTACTTATTGCGATAACGATTCCTGGTATCACGCAGGCGCAATTGGGAATACAAATCTAATGACTTGTCTTTTCGTGTCACTAAAAAGGACGTGGGTGGTGTTGTAGGTCCACTAAATCATCACACAAAAGCCAATAGGGAGGCTTCCTAATTCTGATCTAAACGATGCGTTGAGACTTATGAAAAAGTATTTAATCTGCCTGAGAATGTTGTACGTGAAAAATTGTATTAATATGAACTAGTTGACTTTGAGCCAGATATAAACTCGTACGTTATAAGGTTATCATATGGAGTACGTAATGCTTCGTAATCATAACCGACGAGACGCGACACAAATTACCATGTAAAGCCGGCCAATATTATATACTTGCTTTCCTTGCAGTTCTACTTGAACTTTACAAAATGTCACGTACTTACCTACGTGACATAATTCTTGATAATGTATACAGTATTTATTTCTTTAAAATCTAGGATAGCAACTCCAAATACCTCTGCAACGTATTTTTAAAGATAAGAGCATTGATAAATATATGTACGTTGTTCAATCACCATATCATCATCGACTTTTTTGTTGTGATGTGTGTGACGAAATTTATTTGTATTTAAAATCTGTCCTTTTACATATTGAATTATAATTTTGTTTACTCTCTTCTGTTTCAGTCACTGTTAAAAGAGGACCCTCTTTCACGGATCCAAAGAGAGATCATCGAAGTGACAGAGAGAGAACGCGAGTTCAAAGAAGGTCACTTCCGCATGAACCGGCTCCTCTCCGAGTCGACAATAGAGGTAAACAAACAGAACGGCCACGTAAACGGCGACGATGACTCCAAGCAGAGGACACTCAACAGAGCGGTGTCCACATCACACTTACTGGGTCCTATAACCCCGTCACCGCCCGCCGCCACGACCGTACTCACAACCAATGGTTACACACGTCGATTCGCACCGCAGACCGGCACGAAGGGCATCATGCAGCGTTTTATCGCCAATAAGGGCAAACTGCCGGTGACCTCTCCGGTAGGGGCCGGGCCCGTCGGGCCGGTGGCCTCGACACCGGTGGTCGCCCTCCCCCAACCCCTATTGTTTCCCACCTCGCCCGTCGTCGCTCCGGTAGTGAACCCGCCCGCCATCACACGCACCCCCGAAGGGAAACCGATTCGCAAGGGATACGTGCCCGTAGAGGAGAAAATACAAAAAGAGTTGAGAGAAATGAAGGATAGGGAACACGAACTCAAAAAAATGAGAAAAAAGCAGAAACCCTTCGATATTGATCTGAGCGACAGCGAAGTCACCTCGGAATCGGAGGACGAAGAGATCCCCATGCCAGGAAAACTGAAGGCGACGAAATCGATAGGGGAGCTTTACGAAGCTTTGAACGAGGAGCTGCGGTCTCCTTCCCCTCGGAACAGCTCCGGACACGATTCCATCGGCAGCCTGAAGCCGGCCAAGTCGCTGGCCGAGCTGTGCGAGTTGGCTCCCGGGCAAGAATTTCTCGCCCCGAGCTCCACGAGGCTCATCGCGCAGTGGGAATCCATCATACAACAGAAACAGGAAGCGGGTGCCGCTTAATTTCCTGCGCGTAGTTAAACGAACGTTCGTCGGTTGAAATGTGTGTGTTTGTGGGCGGTTACGCCAAAACTTATTAAGTATTACGTAAGTAAATATCATCGCGGGTTTATCTGAACGGAAGGTTTGAGTCGATGAATTCGATAAAGTGAGTAATATGACTGTGGTATTTGAGAACTGTTACGAAGTATTTTAAGTGTTTTAATTCCGGATGAAGCATGCACGACCATATTTCGCATGACTGCGACATTCCAATATTCTGTCCATACAAATAGCGAATGGTATTTGGCCAATCGATCACTAGAGCGACTGATCGACTGCAAAGCAATTAATTTTCTCCAGATTGTGAACAATGCAAATGATGGTTATCCGTAACGGCAATTATCTCGCGCATGCACTGTTGGAAAGCGGGCGACACTCGCGAACTCGCCTCCCCAGTGTGAATGCGACGGTTTCTTCCTTTTGTTCGGGCGGCGGCGGCTGAAGAACTGATGGTTTTTGCGGCACTTTCCCGCGACGATACGGCACCCGGCCTATGTGACGAGCGCCATTAAATTTTATTCTCAGAACAATGAGAAAACGTGTAGTGTAGGTATCGATGTGAGTACAAAGAGTTGTGTGGCTTCAGTCGACCCCAGCTGTCGGTCGTCAGTTTCCGTGGCCCCCCTAATTTGTTGGTGCGAGTCGTTGCGGCCATATGGCCACTTTCGTTGCATTGCGCATTAACGTCATAATAACAAAGAAGTGGAAGTGCCGGTGAAGCGCCTTACAACTTTAATGAATTAATTAGGTACACAATTACGTTGTTTCGCTCGGCGAGGTTGCGTTGCGATCACAATTTCTTCCCGTAATCATTATTTACATAATTTTACATAAATTATTTTTTGATAGAAGAAAAATACTAAATGGCGATATAAATCGAAGCTGGACTTCGATGGTAGAATGTATTTACTTTATTTATGTATTTTCTTCATTCATTATGTAAGAAGTTGTCACCGCGGGGGAATTTTTAAAATGTTATACAATATTTAACTGTCAAAAGTTAAATGAGAACTGTCCCTTTAATTAATGTAGAAGTGTCAAAATAACAGTGCCTTACAATAGTTATAACACGTGTTGTGTTACTGTGCTGTTTGGTAATCATTAAGTATAATTATTCGGAATTATAACAAATCTATTTAAATGTTTCTGTGGCGATAGACGACCGCCATTTTATATATTTGTATAGAATAAATAATTATTTATTAGAATGATAAATATTTCTCTAGCATAATAATAAATTAGTCAAATTAATTTAAATTTTAATAGAATTAGAACAACAGCATATAATTATTGAGATTGATAGTGTTAATTGTTGCAATATTTTTTACTAGAATAATATTATATTTGTTTCTGTGTATAAAGTGCCAGGTGGGTATATAAATAACTTACGCTGAGGCCTCGTGATGTACTGATACAATTCCTACTACTATAAATAAATATTACTATTTCTATTCTATACATTATGTTGGAACAGTATTGTGATATGAAATTGCCTTAATATTGTTAGACGTGAAATTTTTTGTGAATCATATTTATTCAGATTTTTTAATTGTTGTGTGGCGGCCACCGAGGCGTTGGCGACGCACGCATGTGAGCTGTTATTTAAGATTTTCCCAATAAATACTTTGTGAAATGATAAATTATACTTTCATTTAGTATGAAGGCCTAAGATTTCTTTCCTATTATGAATAATAATCATTCAGTTCTGCAAAAAACATTTCAGCCATAAAATTCTTTAGATTGAAAATAAAAGATTAACGTGATTTTATCGTCCATAACTGTGATAATTATATGTATATCATATTATTTAATCTTTACATACTGAATGCTATTATCCATGGAGAGTGTAGCAAAAGTAGTGTTTTACATATTTTCTCGCATAGGTAATTATTACATATACATTTCTAGATAGACATACACACATTGATCACATAATAATTTAAATTCAGTAATTCAGTTAGGTATTATATTTTAAAATTATAGTACTTAAGATTTCAAAATTTTGTTAGATTTACTTTTGTGTACAAAATATCAAATTTCTGCAATGGGTTTCGACCTCTACCTTTAATGTATTAAAGTTTAAAGTGGAGTTGGGAAATTTTGAGAGTTTAGTGTGAGATTTGACTGTAAAATATAACACACAAACGATGAATACTTAAATATAGAAAAATATAGACGCTGATATAATACTCGTATAAGGTTCGCAATAAATCATCTTATTTTTATATTACTGATAACTCTGATTCATAAACACTGTTTGTATAAAAATGGCCTTGCACACATTCACAACAGAATCTAATTTGCAAACAGACGCCAAACTATGTTATATCACATCATGAATCTCCATGTGCTCGAATAACATCCTCATTCTGACAATTCAAGTTTATTTCTTATAACAAAACTGAGCGCAATATCACGAAAAAACTACTAGGTTACTATTATTTTTGATAATTATGCACATTCACTATACTAATTTGTATATCGTCATATAAAAAAATAATCACAAATTCCTATGAGAGGAATTATGTTATTATTTTTAAGAAGGGGACTCCTTGAGGAGCATAAGGTGATCTTCTATTACATCACTGCAATCTCAAGACCCTAAACACACTACACCTTGTAAGAAGGTGTTAGCAAAACTCTTAAAAATTTATCAGGTTATACAACCCTGTCGAACTCTGTAGTCGAATTAAAAATATATTAAAACTTTGGAACAGATGTCTACATTTTTGTGATACGCTGCACAATGTGTAAACTGCAAGAGTGTTAGGGCTACACGAACCATATCAGACTGGTGGATGTATCTTAACTTTTAATATTTATGAAACCTAATAATATTACTAACAGGGATGTGTGTATAGTTTGTTGTCCATTCACGTCTCAATGGATGGTCGCGTCATTACGGCAGGTATGCCATACAGTCCTATATGAAGACTAGAGGTAGTTGCGGGGCTGCGTTATGAAGTGACACAAACTACTCTACTGCTACTACTGTGGAACAAACTCTTACACCCGGTCTCTGAATTAAGAATTTCAAGTTGAGCACGTCTCAAACCGTGCTTAAGCCATTTTAAACGTCAATAAAACAGGTTTTAATTACTGATTTATAATTTTTTAATGATCAGTTCATAGCAATATGATAAAACCAGGACTTTTTGCCATATGAAACGTAAAAAAATTAAGTTATTGAGAATAATCAACTGAGTTTTTGTGCTTTTCTCAATTCAGAAACCGGCCGTTAGTTACTTCGTTTGACGACGCGGACGACGCCGCCGTTAGCATTAGCTCGTCATCCTTGACGTTGCGTAACATTCATAAACTATAATAATAAAATAATAGTGAATGGGCAACGAGGATACAACAATGCTCCCATTGTCTACTTCATTATGAAGTTTTCAATAAAATCATTTATGATTTATAATACAATTCACAATAGTTGGTCAGGGCTACCACTCGAGTGTTTTCACTCTTATAATTATTACCTAAATACTGATAACGTACTGCGGCATAATATTTTCTTGTTATCTCAAAAATATAATTGTTGCTATGGATCAATATAATATGAGGAGGAACGTGAGATAACGATATTTATGCATGTGATATTTGAAATAAATAAAATACCCGTGTTTTATTGTCCTAATAACATGAAAATAGTCTCTGAATTGATTAAATTAATGCAATTAAAATACCTACTCCGTTTAATTTAAATTAATCAAGTATTTGGGGTAAATTATACTCATTTAAGATACTTTGGTAATAAGTTTTATATGTGCTGTTGGTAGTCTGTCTCTTTCAAATAAATAAAAACTTTTCTTTTAATTAGTATTTTAATAAATTTAAAGAATTGTGACCTATCGTTGTGGGCATAGGTCTCCACGATCGGTCCTGCGCTGCTCGCATCCAGTGGTTTTATTTATTTTTTTATGAAATGGTAGATAATTTTATTATATTAATAATTATATTAATTTCATTATTTTGAAGAATTTTACCGGTTTCAATAAAATCGTAGTAAAGAGAAACGACTGAAAAGAGAGTAATAATACCACAAATATTTATTTAATAAAATCGAAAAGCAAATTTTTTTTTTGTGGTCTATGCCAGCAGTGTCTTTCGTAAAAAGTAAAATGGCACTATCAGCAAATGTAGTTTGCGAGATATCCGTGAACAAACATACACACATACATCTATGAAATATTGCACACGTGCTTAGACGATCATACAAACCAACATATATGAATATTACGCCATTCAAACGAAATTACATAAATACACCTCGAATTAATAACCTCCTTTTTTATGAGTTCATTATTCATAGACTATTTTTATGTTTTAATTTGGATACATAATTAAATATTGTTAATAACTCGAATTCGATGGATTATAAAAAAATCAGCATTATTTATTGATGCAAGCACTAGCTATTGTTTTGTCTGTCGGTGTGAGTAGTTATTTGAAGGCGTTTTTATCTTATCACAGTTGATATCAAATTCAGCTGTAGCCGGTGTCGATAAAGGTTACTGATACCGGTCAATTATTGTAAATTCTTACCTACCGTTTGTTGTTTCTTGTTGACTTTTGTTTTGTTTCAAATTTATATTATTTTGTCAGCAATACTTTGTCACATTTGACCGTATTAACCCCGGCTAGCTATAAAAAGTTCTGTCACCAATATAAAGTTAAGATACTTTGATATATTTAGTATTAAAAAACTTGTCCCATACAAACTATACGCGGTACGAAGGTCAGCCATGCATATTTAAAATAATATTACTGAAACAGGTCAGACGTGTGTTGCGTTAACAAAACAACAAATATTAAAAGAGTAGGTTTGTTTTGTTTATTAATTTTGGTAGGATAACGGATATATAACGTGCTATGTGAAAATGAAACTAGCGACATGTCCAGCGTGCGTTATGTTGCAAGCTGCGCCTGCGCCCACCCGACGTCGACGCGGACAGGCCGGACCGGTCGCGTAGCTGCTTTGTCCTAGTCTATTTTCAAATATAATTTTTTTTTGTATAAAACCTTCAAACGTATTATAACTATAGCTATAATAATAGCAATAACTTTTTCGGCTATTAATAAATATGTTTGATAGCGATAAATTTTATGTTGGGGCTTTGACATATCTTTTTTATGACTGATGATTGCAATTAGTATATTGTATCTATAGAAAGTAAAAATATATGTACAATCATATTATATTTTAGATAACTATGCTTATATTGCAATATAAAAAAATAAGTGATCCGGAATTCAAATAAAGAAAAAGGTTAAATTTAAAATAAAATATATATATATTTTATTAAAATGCACAACAATCTTATCTTATTGCTAGCCTGGTCCTGGTGCGGTCACGAAATCCACAGCAGTATACAGATATTTTATTGCTCGCGATTGTTACTTTAAAGTAAATGTCGTTTGTTAAAAATTTTAATACAAGTCAAACCCAGCTTTGCCATTCTGTAATAAAATCAGCAACTAACCACAACGACAGTTCGAGCACAGCGCTCTCACAGCATTGAGCTTCAATGAATTTAAACCTTTATTAGCTTTTAAAGTAGGTTTAAAGTGATTAATGTTTCTGCCTCGACTCTGATTATTTTTTTTTACAGAATTGCATTCCAGGACTTTATTTGTATTTGTACTTTTTGATGCAAATTTAGCCGGGAACAACGGTTTAAGGCCTAACTAATTGCCTGCTGAAGCACGGAGGAGCTCGAGAAAATACATTTTGGTCACCCGTCCTGTGTGCAGCTTTTGTGACAGTTGCTTAAATTCCGCAATCGCAGGTCAAACCCGCTAACAGAACACCATCGATCTTGTCACTACACATGAGGTATCAATTCTCAAACACGGTTGAAAGTCAAGTTCGCGCGCCGGCGCCCGGTTTGCCTTGGCATGAAGTGGTTGGTGCACACTACGTAATGTATACGTTAACGCGATTTCAATCTTGTACACACGCTTGAACATAGAAGTTGTACATTGAGCGATAATACTGCTCACAGCGTGTCGCACAATATTCTAAACATCCGCATCTTAAATTGCTACTATGTCTCACTTGTGTGCACACTATTATTATAGGAAAGTATGATTGTTTCTCCTTCTTTCTAAACGCAATGGAGTGTCTTTAATTTTTGCGTGTAGATAGTTGGAAGACAAAACTTTTCACCAAACATTTCTTAGGTTGAATTGTAGTTAAAGTTAAGGTTTATATAAAATTTCACAATATCTGTAACGCTGACTTTAACATTGACTGTGGAATGTGTTATATCATCCTCTTTCGTAAAGTAGCTCGGTGGCGTAGTGGATAAGCGCCGCGGCCCGCGATCGTTGTCGTTAAGCAACTTTCGTAAGGGTCGGTCATGGGATGGGTGAGCAAAAAATTATTATCTCGAGCTACTTCGTGCTTCGGAAGGCACGTTAAGCTGTTAGTCCCGGCTGCATTTGCTGTCGTTAATACCCTCCAATCCGCATAGGGCCAGCGTGGACGGTTATGACCCATCCTCCTTAACCATCCATAAGGAAGGAAACCATGAGCCCCTGGGGACGTAAAAAGGCTGATGATGATGATGAACCAGCGAAACTTAGGCGGTTATAGTTTATAGCTAAAGTTATGGTGTAATCTAACTATAT